CACGGGGAACGCGTGTTCCTTTTCTTCTTTCGAACTTGTGAAACGAATGAAAAAAGAAAAGGTGAAACAAAGCCAAGAAGAAGGACGGAAGAGGTGCACGCGTTTCGTCTGCGCTCGAGAAAATCCGCGCATTCCGACTAACAAAAGAAAAAACGAAGAAAACGAGAAGGAAAAAAAAATGGGAGAAACAGCCCAGTGCCACAAAGCGAAACCTAGTTAGTAACATATTCTTCAAGTAACCAAATCTTAGTACAACGTAGACAGATCGAGTAATATAAACAAAAAGAAAAAAAAAAAAGAAAGAAGAGAAGAAACAAATGATCCAGGCTGGTGTACGCATGGCTGACCTTTTCCATACTTGTACTACTGGCGTACGATAATGCGTTCTCTGTGCACGCACGTATATATATATTTGTATATTTTAAACACGTATCATTGTGTACCTTGGAAAAATGGGAACATTGTCGAGAGACGGGGGAGGGACGCATCGGAGCTACGCCGATCAATTGTACACAGGAAGTGACAGTTCTTTGATGCAGGATTTCTGGTTCTCTCGTGTGTTCGACCAGGATGAAGACTCAAATTTTCGTTGAAAAGTTTTCATAGAAATTTCGTTGAGGGTTTGTCCCATTTGCGAATCGTCCATTGAAAATATGTATCATCTTGTTAAAGGTCCTAACAGATGTCGTGGAGTGTTCGAACGAATTTGACGATATGAGGTTAGAATTTTTGTAATCGTTTATTTCTTAAAGTTCATTAATTAGAGTATTTATTTGTTTCATTAGTAGCAAGTTCAAATTCGATTAGATTCGTTTTAACAAACTGCTGAATTTGCACATAATTCTGATTTATTTGATTTACCTTCAATTCGGGACCTGTATATTTATCTACGTCCATTGTAGATAATGTTTTTGTTTATTCTTAAGGGTCCCGCTTTTTTTATTTGATACTATATATTTATTTAGATTGGTTTAATAAGTTTCTATAGAGTTTTCATTTACTTATATTGATTCTTGAAGATTCTCATTCCTTCATATTTTATCGTACCATTCATACTAACGTTTTATTTACGGTTAATTATACGACAATTCTTAAACCGTACAATTATTTAAAGTTTTGTTACACAATAACCTCTAAGCAATTATATTCCACCATAACGAGAAATAGCATAAACAATGGACATGTACGCAAAAATGTTTCAAATAGTTTAACAGTTTTACGAATCGTAAACAAAGTCACATCCCTGGGGCAAAAAGAACCCATTGGAGAGCCGTGATCCTAGGTTGCGAGCCTGTTCCTAAATCGCGTCTCGTTCCAATCGAACAACCCCGTTATTCCGCCCCTGTTTTAGCTTTGTAAGAACACGACGAGCTTGCGACACCCTTTTCCTTCTTTAACACCACCGAACGAAAAAAAAAAGATAACGAATGTATAATCAGCGTTACAACGATTCCATTGTTTCACTAATAGTCGGGTAGCACGCGAGAACCCGACTTTTCACTGCCTTTTTTTTCCGTTCGATGCGAGCACAGAGTCTTCGAATCCATTCGGTGCGACCATGAATATATGCTTCGTTATGTTTCGCCACCGAAAAGATCGAAACTCGATTTTCCTCTGCGACGCGGATTCACTGCCACTATCGACGAACGAGAGAATTATTGTACGCGTTCGACGTCTACTAGCTCGCATCGATTTTCATATTTTATTTTTCATCTTGTATATTCGAAGTCAGTTTGCCCGATTTTTTTTTTCTGTTGGAAGCAAAGCAACGCAATAGACATACCACTGATATACCTCAGGCACCACATACACCGCTCGAAACAGCATGTGTAGCTTTTTTTTTTTAAATCTCACTCGCGGCGAAGGAGTGCGCAGACGTGAAGAAAGGAAGGAGAAAAAAAATGAACAAGATGGATACAAGAACAACAACCACCACTTATGCGTTACTTTTTAAACCTAGCACATAAAACATGATTTTTAATCGGTAGGTGCGCGATCCGTTGTTACCGGCGAAGATAAAACCCGGTACGATGAACATTGTACATATCCCATTGTGCGTGGTGCGACGCACGGTCGATTGAAAAATAAAGTATTGGTATTTTATACAGTCGTAAGACGTGTCCTTTTCATTTCTTCACTCGTTAAATTTTCTCCTGTAAATTAAGTAAGAATATCTCCCTATTTCTATAAGATTTCATATTTCGATAAGTGAACGTACGTTGAAGATACGTATTATTTTTGCAACCTAATTGAACTATAGCTTTTTCTGGAAGATTATTCTTATCATTTCTGTGAACGAAGTAGGAAAATATTTTTGGTACGTTTCATCCTTGGATGAGTGAAATTACTTAAAAAATATTACTTTCTTAAATGAAATAATTCAGTTCAAATCAATTCACGACCATTCAAGATCAGATATACAGCAATAAAAATGTTAACAGACATGATTGTGCGCAGTATTTCCGTGTATTTGTCGTGTTATTGTCCGGCAAAGTAAACTTGAGACTTCTGATGTCATTGCTTGACCAAATAAGTGGAAAATAGACGCTTGAGTAGAAATTGCGGTGTAGGTAAATCGTTCAGACAAATGATTTTCTATCAACTGTCGATAATGTAGCATGTTGATAAAATAACAGGAAACTAAAGTTTATTCAGTCACTTTGTCCTCTTACCTGCGTTTAGTAGGCAAATATTTAGTAGCACGGACATTAATTTCTAAATGACTCATACCACAGACGAGATGCAGGAAAGATCGCATTTATACTTTTGGAGGCCCTAGGCGTAACATCCTTACGAGGTCTCAAAAGAACAAGTCTATTTCAGTTAATAAAATTCATACACATTATTTTTTAAGTTTACTGAAAATAAAAGTTGACATTTGCATCATAACTCATTTTAATAAAATAAAAATAGCACAACATTGGTATACATATATTTATAATGAAAAAAATATAAAAATAAATCAGTTCAAATTTATTCTGTCGACCAAATGTTTTAACGCCCGGAAAAATTCTTGCACTTCAAACGCAGAGGACGTACAGGCACAGACGACGTATAGGATAGATGTTGCACCTAATATATTGTTGTTATGCCCTCTACGATATAAAACGGTGAGTTTAGGAATTACGTACAATCCAATCATCGACAATGATAAAGTCGACAGGTGTAGAAAATCCTCTTTTATTAAATTTCCATGTACAGATACACACATATACGTAATATTCGCTATGTACGATGAATTCGTCTTAATACATGTTTTCACCTGACATGAAAAATATACAGCATTCCATTTAAAAAATAAAAGGCCAGCTTCGTTTCTCGAAAATATGACAAATATAAAAAATTGATATACGCTATTATGTTGGTCATAGAAAACTGCAATATTTTTCCTTTCATTTTTTTCTAGAATTTATCTTTTAGGAGAAAAACGCTGACTAATAAAAGCGCGAACTCCCTGCATATCTCATCTGTGATTAGAGTCAACAACAAAAAAAAGGGGTATTCCCCAAGAGGTGGGGGACTTTGAAAATGGGTATAAGTAAGAGTTGCGACGTGTGACTGTATACAGTGTTGAAACGAGGTGCAAGAAAAACGTCAAGAGCAATCATAAGCTTGTGATCCGTTATACGTGCAGGAGTAATTCAACAATTTAAGGTACAACTAATGAAACATAGTACAATGTACATATTAGTATTATAACATTTTTTCAATTTTCACAATTTTGCCAACTATGCACGCCTAAGAACTCTATTTCGCACAGAATGTAAGAAAATTACGAATTAAACACTTTTGTACATGTAATTTTACGTGAGAATAGAGTAACGTTTTACAATGAAAATTAACGCAAGAGTATTAACTTTTAATACACTATTTGTAATAGACTAAGGATAACAGGTTGGCTAATTTTTATTACTATGTAAGAGTAATACATAAAATGTCCGCGATCAAACATATTTCGTACGTTTGAACCATTTTTATAAATCAAATAATTTTCGAGATATTGAAAAAAAAATTTTTTTTCAACACCAACTTTGAGGACAATTGTCACACCTTAAATGAGAGTCAACACGTAAAAAAAATACATGTCAAATATTTTTTCGAAAACTACATTATACGTAAGATTCATGCTTGGAGCTCCTCCCTTGTCAGAAGTATAAATCAAATGATCTATATACTAATTTGGTGTATCTCAAATCAATGTCGACTGTTTCTCATTTTTGTATATTTTATATTTCTCCGTTTTTTTTTTTTTTTAAATAGATGGATAAAGCATCGAAAGACAATAAGGCTAATCAAGGCAATCGTAATCATGAAAAAACTGGACCCGGCCACAAAGCGGGGTATCATGGAGAAGGAACTAAAGAAGACTTGGACAACCATTCTCAGCAGATACAACAAAATAAAGAAGGCAAATGTTAAATGTACAAAACGTACGAAATCTAGGATAAATATAGACAATATATAAAATGTGCATCTTTAATAAACCACTTTATATTTAATCTTCTTCGACGTTTTATTCGAAAACTTGCTGTGCACCCTAAATATGCATTTTCAACGAATAGAATGTAATTTCCAATTCGAATTTCGACTTTGAATAAATTCCACCTTATTCTTAAGATAACGAAGAAGGGTCAGTTTATGAAAAGAAAAAAAATTAACTTATTAAAAATTCACTTCCTTCCTTATCAATTCTGGTTTACGTGTATGTATTTTTAAAGTAGAAAAAGCTTAAATAAAGAAAAGCACTTATACAAAGAAAAAAAGAAGAGGAATTACTGAAAAACTTTCAGATAATTGTAAAATCACATTTAATGCGCTAATTTTATATTGGCTGGTTGTTTTATCCAAAATCCCCACATAGTAAATTCTTTTCCATCTTGCTCTTCGCTTGGGCCTCGAAATACTTTTACCTTTACACGAGGTACACTATCTGAAAGACAAAAAGGATATATAGATTTATGAAAAACCGAATGAACATAATGGTTAAGTGGTATTAAATGAAGAATATCAAATTCATTGTTGTATTACAACGCACAAATATCAGCATTTAGAACGGATACGAAAAAATGTAGCAAAACTGTATTTGAAATGATAGTTTTTAATATTTCGTTGATTTGTCAGAATTTTATAACAACGTAATACCATAATGAACAAAAATGTCAATATTATAAGTTACTGCACAAATATACGCGTGCTTATAATTAATAACAATTTGAATCTTACCAATTCCCATGGCGTATTCCTGTTCGAATCCTTTTTCCGTGTTAGATTTTGCGTTTACAAATATTACCGAAGTAAAAAAACAAGAAAATAAGGTGATTTTCTGAAAAGAAAACAAACAAAGACCAAGTGAATCATTTTCACTTATATTAAAGAAATAACATTACTAATGCTAAGAATTTGCGACTTACAAATAGTTTCATTGCGATAGATGCAATAACATTTCCGAATAGAGCGAACCTTTTATGTACCGATAAGGTGTATTTAGAGCATAACGAAACCAGATATTTATAGTTTTTAGATACTTTCTTCTATAGAGAAAGTCGTCTTTTTTATCAGTGCAGTGAATGTACGAAAAGATACAATAGACAAAGATGTTAAATTATAATATAATAAATAACTTTGAATATTTTCCAAATGCAATTGCAAGTCTGCTTAAAATTTCATTTGTTTCATTGAATAAATGCACAAAGTTAGTGTAAAAAAATAATAAAATAATTTCTTGATGATATACGAAAAAATAGTTTTCAAGATCGCCGTATCGATAATGATATACACAAGTATACATATATCACTTTAATTTGCAAAATGACAATGGAAGAGATCGGAGAGGAGAATCGGAAGAATGTTAGGAGTTGGATGAAAGTATATGACGGACTTGTAAAATTTTCACGATGTATTTTCATTTGTCACGTATGTTTCATCTTTAACTACAACATTAACGAGATTCTTCTCGACATGCAAATGAGAGCTTTGCGTTTCTGCGGACGCGCTTTTAATGTGTATAATTTCTCCGGCGAACGGAAAATAAAAATGGTTGTAATTAATAAAAATGCACACATGGTCATCATTGTTATATCTATTTTACACATGTTTTGAATAACGATTATTTAAACTCAAACAAATCGATAACGCACCTAATTATCGTACATCTATTAATTTTTCACGAACCTCCTATCAATACTTTACATTATTTAACGAAAAAGGGGAATGAATAAAAAATTGTAATCATTTCACAGGAAACATGTTGTTTGCCTTTGCTGTTTTAACTTTTGGTCATTAATATTTTAACATTTCTCTGCTTGTTATATTTCATATTACAAATTAGTGCATTTTTGACGCTGTTGTTTTGTAGCAAAAATAGAAATGAGAAATTGTAATGTATGAAATATCAATTTACAAGTGGTTACGCAATCGTTAAGGTGTGGATAGATTAAGACATTTTCTTTAAAAAATGCAGTATGTTATCAGGTTTCTCACAACTTCAATTTATCTCCCACTATCTATTTCATACTACGTTTCAGCACCATAGAAAAAATATCTTTTTTACATCGAATATCTTTCTTGGAATATCGTTTAAACAGAATCTGCTAGGTGGGATGAGTGGATTGTACGATTAGATAGATTTTTGTGGAGAAAAAATTGGAAATGAAATATTCAAAGTCAAGTTCGAGTGTGTACACCTTGATTAATAAAATTGTGTCAAAAAGAAGCATTTGCAATATCCTTTTACTTTTATATTAATATTACTCACTCAGCTCTTTTATTCTTTCTAATTTTCCCGTTTCTTTCGATCCGTAACTAAAAAATTACTTATTTGTAATTTCATAGTTACGTTTAGTTCTTATTCCAACCACTACTAATGTTGTAATCTTATTCTATGCTGAATCGGTAACGTTGTAAGTGACACGAAAATGTTACGTACTTATATATATACCATTTTCGTGGTCGCTATTTTCAACATGTGCCCAAATAGTCTACATTCTCGTTTGTCACGTGGAATATCGGGATTTTTTCGATTATTACGTCGGCGCTGCCAACGAAATCCGGACATAGTTTACGTAATTTTTGTAAAGGGGATATTGTTTAAAGTGTAATATTAGTTAACGCTTTGAACACCGACAGCAGACCGACAAGAGCAGAACAATCCCCATGGTTTTTGATACAACTCCCAAATGAAATTCTTCCAATGCGTGATTATAAGATGTTAAAATTAAACTGTTTTATTAAGTTCATTCGTGAGACAAATTTCTTTAATACTTCCGTAATTATAACTTACGGCCTGAATTGTTATTCAACAAGAAACACTACTAATTCTAAGAAACGCTAATAGAATCAAATTTCTGCTTCATTTTTAAGTACTTTGACTATAGAATAAGTAGTGTTTCTCGTTAAATAACAATTTAGATGATTGTTTATGATTATTGTAAGTCTTGAATAATATTATCGTACGCTATAATTTTATGAAACAGCTAGATATATTAATTTTCCTTTGATTTAAGTATTGCATTCGATAAATTAGTCGGAAGTTGTTCATATCTTTTATTGAAACTTGAAAAATTAATGTTCTTTCTGTGTGCATTACAGATGGAACTTTGAGGCCACCACAGGAATCAGAGAAAGGACTTCAATATCAGGAAGATCAAGAAATGCAATTATTTAAAAAAAAAATGAATTATTTATTGTAAGATAAGTGTACCAAATGTATTTTACAAAAGGTTACAATATACCAGTACTGTTTTACAGCATTTTACAGTCTACTTACTTCTCCCTTACACGCCGAATCCCTTTCCTTTTGCAAAAAACACATTGTTTAAACAATGTTCCATTGCAAAATTGAATAAATTAATGCCAGAGACCTCCAGGAATGTGTTTTCATTGAAAATATCGAAAAAATCCCGAAATTCTAGCGAAAACTACGGAAACTAGGTGAACATTTCGAAAATCGCGCGAGTACACGCGTTCGGTGCTTAGGTCCTCGAGAATTCCTGGAATTTTCGTCATTTCCGAGAAATGACGAAATTTCCGAGAATCGAGTCGATTCCAAGAATTGACCAATGGGCCTTCGAAAATTTCAGTCCTCGAGAATTCCTGGAATTTTCGTCATTTCCGAGAAATGACGAAAATTCTAGGAAATCTCGAGAACTGAAATTTTCCAAGACCCTTCGGCTGAAAATCGACTTTATAATAGGCGAACATGATATGACAAGAGGTCGATTCCTGGAAGTGACTCGATTCTCGGAAATTTGGTCATTTCCGAGAAATGACGAAATTTCCGAGAATCGAGTCGATTCCAAGAATTGACCAATGGGCCTTCGAAAATTTCAGTCCTCGAGAATTCCTGGAATTTTCGTCATTTCTCGGAAATGACGAAAATTCCAGGAATCTTCGAGGACCTAAGCACCGAACGCGTGTACTCGCGCGATTTTCGAAATGTTCGCCTAGTTTCCGTAGTTTTCGCTAGAATTTCGGGATTTTTTCGATATTTTCAATGAAAACACATTCCTGGAGGTCTCTGGCATTAATTTATTCAATTTTGCAATGGAACATTGTTTAAACAATGTGTTTTTTGCAAAAGGAAAGGGATTCGGCGTGTAAGGGAGAAGTAAGTAGACTGTAAAATGCTGTAAAACAGTACTGGTATATTGTAACCTTTTGTAAAATACATTTGGTACACTTATATTACGATAAATAATTGATTTTTGCATAAACAATGGGTTTTTTACAAAGGAAATGAATTTGGTGCGTAAGGGAGAAGTAAATAGACTGTAAAATGCTGTAAAACAATACTGGTATATTGTAACCTTTTGTAATATACATTTTGTACGATAATTTAACAATAAACAATTGATCTTTCGATAAATAATTTCATTTCTTCGTTTTTCCTGATGTTGGAGTCCTTTCCTAGATTTCTACGGTGTGCTGCGTGCTTCATCTGTAATTCATACGAAAAGAACATTAATTTTTCCAATTTTTAATAATAGTTATAAACAATTTCCGACTAATCTACCGAATACAATGTTTAATTCAACGCAGAAGTAGTATACGAAGCTGTTTCATGAAGTTAAAACATGCAATAATTTTATTTAACACTTACAATAATTATAAACAACCATGTGAATTGTTATTCGACAGGAAACATCAATTATTCTATAATTAAAGTATTTGCAAGTAAACCAGGAACTTTAATTTACTATCTACATATTGGTAATGTTGAAGCAATGAAAAATTTGTTATAAGTATCAATTTGAAACTGTCTGCTACATGCAATTATCCTCTAATTTACAATAACTACTATCAAAAGCGAAAAATTCAAAGAATTTCTATTTTAAAAATCAACTAACCTGATAATACTTTATCTCTGACGATGCTCTGGATGATACTCTCGATCCTTCCTCGTATCATGACTGGCTGACTATCATCGAAGACGTAAGTGTGAGTACCGTAGCCTTATTCCATCGCTATTGGCTGATTATCAGCGAAACGTCACAGATTCTCCCACA